AAAGCATTATTTGGTCTACAACATGACAAAACTATACTGTGGCATTTTTTAAATAGAAGACACAATACATTTTCATTCTGTTTTGACAAATGTATGTGACATACAAGATTAGACTTCTCAAAGCTTCTAATCTTTTAATATAAACACAGATAATATGGACACTGATGTCATAGTTTTAATGCTAATTCCATCAAGTTTCTGAATATTGTATTTAAATCATAATTGTTAGACTTGAAATATAATGATGCTTGAAAAAAGTGCATTGAATGAGAAATACTGTGTCAAACTTTTCAGTGTCTTATTTTGAAGTTGCAGCAAATATAACTTTAAAATGCTTTTTAAAAACTAGACTGAATATGCTTATTATGAATTATGTTCAGATAATTAAATTAATCTTGACAGGATGAGAATAATTTCCTTGGTTTTAAGGACCACAGGGGTCTATGTAGTACATTATTCTTTCCAAAATTGGAAAAAGTTTGAACAATATGAACCAGTTAACAAGTAATTTATCCCTTTCTCTGCAGGAGAGTCAATTCTTCTTTTCTTCTCTTTGTTTTCCATTTTTTTCCTCTGAAATCACATTTATTCTGGATTCTCAGAGAGAATCAGTGTGACATATTAAACACATTCCCATTTTGTAGTTGTATAATCCCTCTGTGTATGTGCTTTCAAAATTTTAATTACAAAGTATAAACAAACCTTAGGAGGGAAAAACAATTTTTCCCCTGATATACTTAACATTTTTGAAATGCTGAAAATATAACTTGAATTCCTATTTGCAAAGAAATATATATTCATCTATTCAGCTATTATTTATTTAATATATGTCCTGTGTGAAATGCTTGCTAGGAGGTAGAATACAAATCCTGTGGTCTATCCTAGGTAACAACAGTTGAAAGGAAGTATAGCAGCAGTTTGGATTGGCTACAAAAATTGGTAATCACGATCAGTCAGAGGCCAGAATCAAGAGTGCATAGAGCTAACTGTGAAGATGGAAGTCAAACTAGGTGGACATCAAGGCAAGGAGTTTTACCAAAGGCCAAGTAGGCAGACAAAAACTATGAAAATCCAAAGAATAAAAAGGCAAAAGAAGTTAAATGCAGAGTCACAGCAACAAAGCGATCATGGTACTGAACAAAATTCTAAAACAATTCCAGCTTCTAGTACCAGCAATGCAGTAAGCAGCAGGGAAGGCTTTAATGGCTGAGATGTGGGCAAATCCATATACAATATCTGTGAGCTCATGATGTAGCTGTACTACTAGAGAAAACGTAGTGCCTGAAATTTTTTAAAAGATATTTTTATTGATTTCAGAGAGGAAGAGGGAGAGAGAGAGAGAGAATCATTGATCGGCTGCCTCCTGCACGTCCCCAACTGGGGATCGAACTGTGACCTCCTGGCTCTTAGGTCTGACATTGAACCACTGAACACACTGGCCGGGCTACTGCCTGGAATTTAATGGGCTCTCAACAAATACTGATTTGATGAAAAAATAACAACTCAAAGGGCAGAATATCATTTATGAAATCTACCATAAGCTTTCTGCATATCTTTAGTATATTGTGTTTCTGATTTTTTGTTTAAAATTTTTCTTTATATATTGACCTCTTTTCTGGTGGTATGAAGAGTACAATAAAAGTAGTGAACTTCTCTGTAAATATTTTTATACAAAAATAATTATAGTTAGCTTGAATAAGCCTATATAATTTTCAGCTTGTTACTAAAATATGTCCCTCAAAGAGCAAGCTTATGCAAATCCCTGAGGCATGAAAGTATAAGGCTGTTAGGCTGCCTGAAACAGAAAGTGTGCTTCCTTAATGATAAATTCTAGCGTATGCTACATGCCATTTTGCAATAAAATGCTTTTGCAGTACACGTAGAACACAGCTCTTAGTTCTATTAATGACTGAACTGCAATGCAGTGGAAAGTTCTGAATTGTATCTGGTAAACCCACAGCAATCTTTAGGCAGCAGATAAAGGCCAAATCTTAAAAAGTGCATTTATTTATGTTGAGAGTTATAACCTAAGTATAAGCTTTATCTCAATGAATGCACTTCATTTAAGATGATTGGTTTTTTAACAACAAAAAAAATGTCTTTATGCCCCAGAACTATACAGTTGTATAGGTTCCCTTTAGCTACCCAGTAATGGCTTCTTCTGTGATGACTTTCATGCTGTTAAGTGGACCATTAGTACTTGTGTCATTTCGTAGCATCTTAATAAGAAGAAACAAATAAGCTTTCAATCAGCACAGCACCATACTGCCTCCACTATTCCTTTTCTTTCTCTGTATTCATTTAGATTTTAAGCTCAATACAGTGAAACTTATTCTGGTAGCATTTTTAGATTCATCTAGACATGTTTTATTCCATAATTAACATATGAATATGTTGATATTTTAAAAACAAATAGCTAAATGAAGACCCAACAACATCCCCCACAGTCTTATCCACCCTGTCTCATCTAGGTAGTTCAGTCTAGTTAGAAAACATAACTAGTCAAGCTAGAATCACTAGTCCAGAGAAGACACAGGTTCTTTATCCATCAATTCAGTGCATGACCAAAAACTCTTACCCATTCTGACCGTGTCCCTGAGAGTATACTGCTGGTTCTGAGGCGAATGGGCAGTAGGGGTGACTAGCTCAGGGGACTGCCATACATACCACTTCTCAAAAAGGCAATGCAAAACACAGGCCCTGTTGCTGGAGCATCAATAACAAACCTACTATAAGGAAATACATAATGTGTTCATCTGTATAAGAATTGTTACAATGTGTAATAAGAATAATATCATTTCTGATGGATACAGACACTCTTAACTATATATACACGTTTTTACACTTCCCTTGCAGGATTGTTTACAAGACATATGACATTGGCTTAAAAAATTTCCCACAACTGCTGAGACATTTTGAGTACTATTTGTTGCTATTTCTAGCCGAGCATGATACCTGAAAAACACCACTTCAGAAGTATAGTTCTTCACAATGTCTTTCCCTTGCTTTGGAATCAACTAGAAAAGAATAAAGCTGGCACATCACTGGGGGTTGGAGTGTACACTGTCTGTGCGTGCCCTGTGTGTTCTCTGGCCCCTACACCTTCAGCCTGACTCCCGCCACCAGCATGGCACTGCCTGTTGGATTTCTTTCACGGCTGAAGGCCACCAGTGTGGGGAGTAATGCCTTCCAGGGAAAGAGCACTCAGCAAGTGGCTGAGGAGAGGTGGCATATAATAACCCAGCTGCTCTCGCCACTTGTCCTGCACTGGTTCCCGGAGACCCCCCAGCACTAACGGACACTTTTTTGACTGCCTTCCCAGTTTTCCTCTTCTACCCCATGTTTCTGTCTCCTCTGATATAAACTACTGTGCCTTGAATCACTGTCTTTGAGAAGAACCCTAATTAAGACTTTTAAAAATTCTAATACACGTAATATCATACTTTATCTCAGACAACTACAAGGTAAGACAAGCAGTATTAGACTCATTTTATAGAAAAACAGACAAACTTCCCCCAAATAATATACCTGGAAGAGGCAGAGCTTGGGAGAAACTCAACCTTGTTTTCTTTCCCTGTTTCGCTTTGCCTGAATACTTCAGAATAAAGGCAAAGAGTTTGCTCTTCACATAAAGCTCTTCTAAGCGTGTAAAATGGCACAGATTAAATCATGTTTACTAAGGTATGTTAAAAAACACTATTACACCCAAACTATTTACATATCAGTCATATTTACTGATGACATTCAATATCTACAATCATTCTAAACATTAAACTATATATAGGTCACTGTGATCCTAGCACTGGTTACTTCCATCTAAAAACACTTTTATAAAGTCATCCTGGGGTATATATGCTAGATGAGATAATATCCTTGGCTGCAAAACATGTATGACAAAATTATACTAAGGTTCTCTATAGCCCTGAACCAAGGTCTCTCCTCTTTAACACTCTGACACTTTGTGCCTGATGACACTTTGTTGGGGGCTGACCTTTGCACGGCAGAGCATTTGGCAGTGCCCCTGGCCCTCCCATTAGCTCCCATAGTGGGTACTTGCCCCACAGCTGTGACACCTTGGGAAGGAGGGGGGTGGTTCATCCTTGGTTGCGTAACGCGAGTTTTACAGCCCAAACATGCCTTCACTTCTTCCTGAAAGACAGCCAACCTACGAGGGCAGTAACTTTTAATGTGGCCTTGGAACAGAAACTATTTCTACTTTGATATTTTACAAATGAAGAAATGTTGCACGTAATGCTACAGGGTTCCAAAGTTAAATGTGTGGAAGAAATAACAGTGGCTGTGAATCTTACGTTTCTAAAACATGACTTAATGGTGTTACACAGAAAGAGCCCAGGTTTTTCATGCTTTATCCCAACAGAAGACTCTCTGATCAGCCCGTGTTCCCTACTAGTAGCTCGATAGAGCCACGAAGGCATGAGGCAGGACACAAAAGGCTCTGGTAAGAAAAGGAAAAAAGAGAGATGCCATGCCTTGTTAAACGCAGACAGGGATTCATCAAAATGCAAAACAGGCAACAAAATTACAAAGTACAACTATTAAGCCCAAATGCCAAAGCACAGAACTCCATTAACATCCAGATCAATTGAAATGGACACTGGCGCACCACTTTCGTGCTTATGAACTTTGAAGTTCACTTTAGGTTTTCACCAATTTGCCTACATGTAATCCTACTTCCTCTTGTGAGCGTCTATACTGCTGTGGTGATAATAAAAAATAAGTAGAAAAAGTAGTTTATGCATATAAATTTGATGTAGGTACATGGCTAATTTTTTAATCAAAATTAAAGCAGTCCTGACACTAAAAAAAGGAAAACCCAATATATACTGTATGTTATGTGCATGTACATGGCAGAGGTAGCAAATGAGAAGAGAAAGAACACAGATTCACATATACAACCCTTTCTTCCTAAACACTAATTTCTGGTTCCTATATGAACAGAATTGCAGTTCAGACTATGGATGCTTAGGAAGTGCACCTACCACTTGTCCATTGTGTGGGTTCTTATGAGCATAGGGAGGTCCACGGATATGATTCCACATCTGACCAGAAGTCATAGCAAAGACTATACACTGAAAGACAGGGTGCAATGTGTTTCCATTATGTAACAATCTGGCTCATTCTGTTCATATTATACAACTTATGCTATTTTACAAAATATAGGGGGGAAGTACAATGTGATAACATACCAGAGATACCATGGCCCAACCAGTCTTGTTATAGATGAACTCCAAGTTGTTCCTTCTTAAATAGAGCAAACCACCAACAAGCGACACTAACAGGGCCAAAGCGATGGTGCCAGAGTAGTTGGGTGGTCTGAAGACTCGAATCTGCAAAAATGCAATGAAAACTTTAAGTGAAAGGAAAATACCAATTTTTTCTCCTGACCACATTCTAAGTCCTTCCAATCGTCAATACAAACAATTTAGAAAGGGGACACCTCACTTTCAGACCTTGCACTAACATTCTTTTCACTCCTTACAAATCAAAAATATATACCTTGAAACATCATGACAATGTAAAAAGTCTTGCTCATTTTAGGTAACTACAGTTAAACATATGCAAAACTACCTTTGCATATTCAACCCAGATTAATTCTGTTCTGATTAATCCAGAGAACATGGGATCATCTGGCAAAGAGTAAAGGTGAGATGGGGACATAATATTTGTATTATTTCAAACTGGGACCTTTTAAAAAGGCTTCTTAAAAACGGTTTTATTGAGAAATAATCCAAATAGCATACAATTCACTACTCAAACTGTACAATTCAGTTTAGCATATTTATTGATATATGCAATCATAAGTCAGAATCAGAAAATTACAATAATTTCAACAGGAAGTCCCATACCCTTTAGCATTTATTCCCTTTACCCTACCCCCTCTAGCCCTAAGCAACCACTAGTATACTTTCTATCACTATAGATTTACCTATTCTGGACTTTCATATAATACAGTGGGGCCTTGACTTACGAGTTTAATTCGTTCTGTGACGGAGCTCGTAACTCAAATTACTCGTATGTCAAATCAAAAAGTGAACGAGTGAGACACGTGATGCTGGGCTGATGTTGTGGCGTTCACTGTGACATTCGCTGCGCCAACTAGCGGTGGGGTATCTGAAGCTGGCTCGTAACCCGAATTTTAGCTCGCAACTCAAAGCAAAAAACCGGCCGAGAGATGGCTCGTATCTCGAAAAACTCGTTAGTCAGGACACTCGTTAAGTCAAGGCCCCACTGTATGTGGTCTTTTGTTATTGGTTTCTTTCCCTTAGCATAACGTTTTCAAGGTTCACCCTTGTAGCATGTGCCCATACTTCATTTAAGGGTGAATACTCCATTGTATGCATATATCACATTTTATTCATTCATTAACCAGTTGACAGATATTATGGGTAATGCTGCTATAAACATTCTTGTACAATTTTTTGTGTGGGCATATGTTTACATTTTTCTTAGGTATATATGTAGGAGTGGAATTGCTGGGTCATGTGGTAACTATGTTTAATAGTTTGAGAAACTGTTTTCGAAAGTGGCTGTGCTATTTTGCATTCCCACTAGTGGTATATGAGGGTTCCAATTCTCCACTTACCAACATTTATTATCTCAATGATTTAGCCACCTTTGTGGGGGTGAATGGGTATCTCATTGTGAGTTTGAATTGCAGTGCCCTGATGACAAGCCATCTTTTCATGTGCTTATTGGACATTTGTATACTTTCCTTGCAGAAATGTTTATTCAGATCCTTTACCCACTGTTTAAGTGATCTTTATGTTACTGAGTTGTAAGAGCCCTGTATAATAGATGTAAGTCCCATCTAAGAAAAATGATTTGCAAATATTTTCTTCCATTCTGTGGGCTGTCTTTTCACTTTCATGATTGTGCTTTAATGAACATCAAGACTATATTTTATAAGTAGACATAATTGGTATGAACTCATGATTTCACAGTATGTATAGGTCTTGGTTCTACTAACATTCACCACTAAAAGAAAACAAGGCTCTTAGGAGAAATGGCTAACTGAGTGCTGGGTAGGGTAGGTAGGCAGATGCAAGATGAGCCTGAATTAGATCAGCTGGAGGTATCACACTCCCTGACCTCAAATTTTACTACAAACCTACAATAATCAAAACAGCATAGTTTTGGCAGAAAAACAGAACAAGGAACAAAACTGGATAAACCCACACATACATGGACAAAAAAATGTTTTTTGATAATGGAGGCAAAAACATACAGTGAAGAAAGGAAAGCCACATGCAAAAGAATAAAACTAGAATGCTTACACCAAACTGAAAAATTAACTAAATAAGACCTGCAACAATAAAACATATAGGAAAAAAAACATTGGTACTAAACTTACACACCTTGGTCTCAAAGGGGTTTTTGTGAACTTCAAAGCAAGGGAAGTAGAGGCAAAAATTCATGAATGGGACTAGATCAAATTTAAAAATCTCTGTACAGCAACAGAAACCATCAACTAAATAAGGTAACAAACCAAAAGGGAGAAGATATTTGCAAACGATATCTCCGATAAGAGTCTAATCTCTAAAATATATAAAGAACTCATACAGCTCAACACCAAACAACCCATCCAATTAAACAATGCACAGAGGACCTGAACACACACTTTTCCCATGAAGACATATAGATATATGAAAAGATGCTTAACTTCAATAGCTACAAGGGAAAGAAAAATTAAAACCACAATGAGATACCACTTCATAGAATGACTGCTGGAATGACTATTCTCAAGACAAGAAGTAAGTGTTGGAAATGATGTAGAGAAAAGGGGCTGGTAGGAATGTAAGCTGGTGCAGCCTCTATGGAAAATAGTCCAGAGGTTCCTAAAATAAGAATCAAGTTACCATATGACCCAGCAATCCCTCTTCTGGGTATCTACCTGAAAAAATTTGAAAACACTTTATCTATAGAGATATACATACCCATATTCATTGCAGCATTATTCACAACAGCAAAGCCATGGAAATAACCTAAGTGTCCTGCAACTGATGACTGGATGTGGTACATTTATAAATGGAGCACTATTCAGTCATAGAAAGGATTAAATAATGCCATTTGCAACAAACAGATGGATCTTGCATATATTATGCCAAGTATGTCAGTTGGAAAAGGATTTTATTCATATGTGGGATATAAAATAAAGGAACAAACTCATGACACAGACAATAGCATGGTGGTTCCCAGAAGGGAAGGGTCATACATAAGATGACAGAGGAGACTAGATTTTGGATGGTGTGCACACAATGCAATATACAAGTGATGTATTATAAAACTGTATGCCTGCAACTTATACAGTGATTTCCTCTTTTAAAAAAATGTTTATGGCTAAGTAGTTTCTCAGTGGTAGCCAACCCATGGTCCGCCGACCACTGGTGGTCCCTGAGGTCCGAAAGATTGGCGACTGCAGGTTTAAATCATCCTCGATTATTTCCTTAAGGTAAATGACATAAAATAAAGATATGATGTAGAATAGTTACACCACCTTACAGTGCCAAGAACAGTGTATGTGTGGCATTTTCTCACATGGCTCATGAAAAGAAGGTGTTATCGCCTTTGTACCTGCCCAAATAATAGATAAAAATTATGCATCTAGCTTTTTAATTAGAAATTGATTATTAATACCACTGAGTAATATTCAGTATATTTTTTTAGCCTCTGAAATTACTTTTTGCCTCACATACAGTTTAATAGTTCTTAAATGATTTTTAGAATAATGACATTTTAAATTCACCTAATTTATAGCTTATAGTTATCAGACAGTTTTCTCTAAGTAAGGAAAAATGCTGCATAGGGAAATGTTAAAAATCCTGTGGCCTTATTACATGCCCTAACAAACCAAGCTAATTAGCCTATTATTTAAAACTGTGGAGGAGAAATACATACATGAACATCCGTTCTGTCAGCAATCCACTTTGCGAGCTGTTCAGCTGCAAATCCAATTCTTTGAAGGTCAAAAGTATCAGCTCTCTTGGGTCTGCCCTTTGGAGGGAAATGCATGAATGTAGGAGCAGAGTTCATGTTGAGCTATAAGACAGAAAATAAAATTAAATATAACATCTTTATATAGCGTTCATCTAACAGCTCATGTTTTTTCCTCCATGAGTTTTGGAAAGATAGCATTTATTCGAAAACCCAGTGGCTTTCCAGAACTTAATTACTGTTTTATTCACCTTAATGCACTCCTGAGTAAAAAGAACTTATAAATTAGGCTGTGTGCTGAACCTCCACATTCAACAGGCATCATTCATATTCTATCAGCTATTTCATTCTTTTCCTACCTTAAATTCTATAATTAGAGTAAAATATGAAGTAATTCAAAGTGTAAAATAGAAATATTGCAATTTGGCAGTGCATGGACTATTCGACTTGAGAAAAAGTACTGGCATTTGATGAACAATATAAATATACTAGAGGCCTGGTGCATGGCCTGGCCTACGGGGATTGGACCGAAACCAACTCTCCAACATTTCCTGAGGGATCCTGGATTGCGAGAGGGCAGTTCTCAGGTGATGCACCCCGGAATCGGGCTTCCTCCTCTCTGGTTCCAGGCGCTTCACCTGAGAACCAGAGCTGCCAAGTCACCGCAGCAGCTCCTGCCCCCTGGTGGTCACTGCCCATTATAGCTACTGGTCAGATGGTCACTTAGGCTTTATATATATATAGATTATGGAATTAATTTCAAACAAATTATAAGTAGATTGACTCTATTAAACTTAAAAAATGCTGATGACTGTCACAGAAACCAACATTTTTGCTCTAAACAATCGGAATTTACCAGACTGAAGCAGAAATCCACAATGATAGTCTTTTTCTATTTAACTTCTCTATTAATTCAACTGTCTTAAAAATGGTTATATCTCGTTATTTTCTAAAGGCAATTTCTATTTGAAAAGTGTACTGAGTAAGATACTAGTACAGTATAAATGGTGCTTAACAATAAAATATCTAAAAACAAATATTAGATAAATTTGCATTGAGGAACAAACTGCAAAAATATATACAGATTAAATTCTTGCTGCCCAGGAATTATGAAAAATGTCACAAATTAAAAGCCAAGGGATTTTGGGCCATGACTTGAACTGTAGATCAGCACTGCCCATAGACCACGGTTGACACTGAGGTAAAGAGCCAGCAGTGGGATGCACGTTGTGGACATTTAATGTCTGTTAAGTGGAACAAAACACAGTCACAGGTTCCTTTCTTCCCTGTTTTCTCCCACTCCTGACTGTGTTCACGTGTGTTTCCCTGACAGAGAAATGCACAAGAGATAGCTACAGCCAACATGGAAATACATGTGGAAATATACGATTTCAAGGAAGAAATTCCTTGCAGTGGAACAATCACAAAACCCAAGCTAAGGCTTAACATCCTAGAATTTCAGAGTTAAAAACAAATCATATAATTCAAAGTTTTCATCTTAATTAAAATGTACAAATTCCCCAAGGCTACAATAAAGCAGGTTACAACACAGGCCTGATTTCTAGTGCAGAGCTCCTCCTAACACACCATATTCCTACTCCATGGCCTGTTGTCAGGCACTTAGCCCAGCCATTGCACGGGAATCACATATAATTGAAGTTACTTGCCCAGCAAGTCCCCGTCGTGCCAAGAATTGCCAAATTTCTGCACTTGTTATTAATATTGTATTCCAACACCACAATACTGCTGACAGTGCTTTAAAGCATCAGTTTAGAGAAAGTACTTCAACAAAATGTGACTCAATAATCGATGAGAAAAAGAAACATAAGCATTAAAAATCTTTCAGTGGTTCTCATGTCAAACAAAATATATAATTCTGTTTTTGTGTGGATTATAATTACCCATAAAAATCATTAACTGCTATAACTTTTATGCATTTCTGCATTTAAACATGAAAACTCATTGCTAAGCCAGGGGCTAGGTTTTGGAAAAGACAAAGCGGTTCTATATTCGTAATTCTGCTGAATCAAAATTAGCCTCAGGAAATTTTGCAATTTAAAACCATCTTGACTTCAGCTCTCATATCTATGCCAAACTTAACGTGTAAAGCATATAATATAAAAGATTTCAATGATTATCTCTAACCACACAGCCGTCTGGTTATATACTGGCAGCCTATAGTCAGTACCAGCACAAAAACAGGCTGACTTGGTCTCACAGTTTTGTTTAATCTGAATTAGCTGCCAATATTTTAAAGACAGAGAGATTGGATTTGGACCTCTTCTTGAAAACCACATCTAGATGTGGCTTGCATTTCCTCAGTCCTGGAGCTGGGTGTGTCTCCTCCGTTTCCGCAGTCCCCGCCCCCAGCACACTCTTTCCTCAACGCCCAGCCCAAGAGCCAGCTGCCTGGCCTGTAGCTGATTTCATTTCTTACAGTAGTTAGGACAGTGGAATATCTGGCTCCATTGAAGATCTATTTTTTTAAAAGGCCAAGAAAGACTTTGTTGAAATAAATACAGGAGAGAGCATATTTACTCGTGCAAGTGAAGAACTAATGTGTTAAATATGCTAAGTGTGTACATAAACAAAGAGACCATAACAAAATGACACTAACCCAACCTACTCTCTTTGCTTAGTTTACAGCCTGTCCAGGACAGACATTTGGGCTTGAAGCTTTTGCTCTAGCAGTTAGATTAGGCCTGGATGACTATTGCCTATATATGGTAGAGAGGAGTCATGTATATAATGAAGAGCACTTCCATCTGACGACCTCTAAGAACAATCAGGAGATTCTATAGAGACCTATAAATTACAGGAAAGAATATTTGGCTCTTATAGTATTGTAATTTTCCTTTATAAGGAAATTCATTGCTCAATATTTGATTGAATATATGAACAAAAGTAATTATCTGCAAAATAAGATTATGGAGAAAGAAATAAGTAAAGAATACTAAAGAAAGATCAAGGCAAAAGAGGAAATTTATCTTATTCAACTAGAAACTGGCAAAGATGAATAATTAATTAATCAACCTCGGAGCAAATAAGCAAAAAAACTCACTAATGACCCTTTATAATTAGTGAACTAGACTCCTTACAAAACTAAATGCTGTCCCATGACCTGGCAAAGCATTATGCTGCGTGTCATATGTAAATATATGACAATAAATATTGAGGAAAATAAATATGAGGAATATAAAATAGACCAAGATACCCAAACTAATCAATGCCTGGCACTGTAAGAAGTTTTACATTTGAAAGGCACTGATCAAGCAGTGATGAACATAAAGCATTAATAACTGCAGGGTAAGAGGAACTCTGGGAACGAGTTCAGCACTTAAATTCTAGCTCCATATGACAATAGCTTTATAACCTCCAACAAGTGACTGCACCTTGCCATACCTTAAGTTCCTGATCTGTGAAATACAGATAACAATACCTTTCTCAGTGGGTCATTGGGAAGCTAAATGAAAGAATATATGTGAAGCACTAAAAAGAGTCCTTGGAACATAAGTACTCGATGTTAGCAATGACAATGACACAAATTGATGACAACTAGCATACTTATACCACAATCCTGTACCTTGCTCTATGGAGAAGACTGGATGACAACCTATTAGTCTGCTCAGGTTGCTGTAACACACAGAGATGGGGTGGCCTAAATAACAGAAGCATATTTCCTCACAGTTCTGAAGGCTGAAAGTCTAAGATCGAAGCTCCAGGAAGCTTTGTTACTAGTCAGACCTGTCTTCCTGGCTGGAAGATGGTCACCTTCTTTATGTCCTCACATGGCTTTATCTCTGTGCACATATACTCCTCGTGTCTTCCTCACAACCAGGTCCAGGAAGTGGTGTCCTCCTTAGACACCAGTTTAAGGAGGTAATGAGGGTTAAATGAGGACCTACTGGATTAGGGTCCCATCTTTATGACCTCATTTTATGTTTAATTTCCTCTGTAAGGTCCCTGTCTCCAAAAAATGGTCACATTGGGGTTAGGGCTTCAACATATGAATTTGGGAGGGACACTATTCGGTCTACTTTTCAAAAAATATTTAATAGTTTGTATATAAAACTATCTGCCATATGGAAAGAAGTAAAGATTAAAACATTGAATTTTAGATAAAATTTCATACTTTTATGCACAATATTACCTTAAACTACATACAATTAAATATCAAAATAAGGTTAATGCATGTAAACTGCCATTGTATGCTGACAAAACACATTTCCTCCACAATCCAAAGTTAAAATGCGTTTACCATACTTGCTAATGGCAAACACTACTCAAAGATAAAAATAACATTAGCTGTATTTTAATCCCAACAAACAAGTTATTATAACCACTACTGTATTTGTTAACTTACTTAAAAAATGGTATGTCTATCGGGCAAACAAAACGTATCAACCATAACCGACTCTATTAAAGATGTTAGCAAACGAAAATAAAACTTTTACCTGTTGAAAAACATCCGTCCCCTCATCATAGTCCACCATACTGAAGAAGAGTTTGTTACAGAAAGCAGATGAATAGCGCCAGGAATTAGCCAGGATTTGATATTCTTCATTAGCTTGCCTGATAAGAACAGCGGAGCAGAGCAGAAACATCAGTATTCAAGCACTAACAAAGCTGTTAATAAAACAGGCAATTCTAGGAAAAGAGGTGGCCAGTTTTTGTTTGAAAAGCAAGATAGGACTATATTTTATATTTTTAATTGGTCGTAAAAAATAAAAGGGTGAAATATTCCATGATGTGAAAATTACATAAAATTCAAATTTTATTGTTCATTAATAAAGGTTTACTGCTATAGAGCCACATGAGTCATGGACATATTTTTTTCTGGCTGCTGGAGTATAATAATTGTAACCAAAACCACATGGCCAAAGCTCATCCTGGCACTTTCAAAAACAAGTTTAACAACTCTTACTCTAGACATCTAGAGGGTAAAATCATTTTGTGGCATCTCCTATATATATTTAAATTTTCTGATAACTTTTAGTAAAAGGCATAAAGCTATTTTTAAGAATATTTTCAATTCACTTTAACAGAAAAACAATAAACATGAGAACACTTTAAAACTGTAAACAGTTATACTACACCTTTTTATATCCCATTTATCTAAAAATGCATTTACATTCAAACCTAAAAGTAATAAATAAAAAAGGCACAAAGAAGCCAATGACAAAAACAAGCCTCCTCTAAGAGCATATTTACTTCTATTTTCAATTAATTTCTATTGGACATTTTGTTGATTTTCCAGATAATAAAGCTCTATATTTAGGTGTAGGGATGGAAACTGAAATGGTGTTGGAAGGATGTAAGCATAGTCATTGAATAAAAAGACAGTAAGTGATTGCTAAAATGTTTAAGAGTTCTTCTTCCATACAGTAGTAGCTGATTTCTCAGAGGATTTTTCGGGAGTCCCTCTCCTAAAAATGGAAGTAAAGAAATAAAAAAGTATACTTTCACAATAACAACAAGCCTTCAAATAACAGTCAGCAGCAGATAAGAGATTTCAAAAATATCTGGAAACAAGTTAATGTACTAGTAAAAGTTCTGATGGAGAAAGCCACACTCTCCAAGGACACTGAGGTGCATGACCAAGCTAGGAAAATACTGGATCAGAAGCAGCAGAGACAGGGTCTGAGATGTTATCTCGATAATTAACAAGCTAGCCTGTAGACTATTTCATGGATGCTGGTAGAACACATGAGACTCCTGGGTCAGAGACAAAGGACATTATTACTTCATGTTATTTGCATCAATTCCCTGTGCCCCCACGCCTCACAGAGTGACACAAAAGGATATTTGTGGATGCCTGCACACACAAAAGACAGTGTTACCTGAGAGAAATGCTGAGTTTGAGGGACTTACTGTTTTTACAGCGAGTGATAACAGGGGAGACATGAGCTCGCTCCTTAAGGCTTGTCCCTGCACACACAACACTGAATTATTGGTCTATGCAGTGAGAACATGCAAGGATGCTGGGGCCCACTGCAGACTGCTTCTCCCAAATGTAGCCACACACACAAAGAACAATGTAATGTAAAGAGGGAACAAAGAAAATAAGAGAGTACTTACAAATTTTAAATATGACTGTTCAACCTAAATACCAATATCAGAAGATGGAGATCAGTAAAATTCACAGAACAAAAAGTGACACAGGTGGACTCTATTGAGGGTAGGGAGAGGAAGGGACCTAGAGATTTAATCCAATAAAGACAATTTTCAAGCAGAAAGAGGCCGAGAGTGAAAAGAGAGACAAATTAAAGGGAATATTTCTGGAGACATAACACAATTCAAGGAGACTAAGTCTTCAAATTAAAATTATTTCCCAGGTTCTGAGTAAGAGGAATAAGAAAAGACCAACACCTATATATATTATGACATTTCAGAACATTATGGATAAAAAAGAAGATTCTAAAAGTTTTCAAAATAAAACATATGTAACAAAGGCTACCAAGGAGAATGGGATTGGACTGGTTATTAGCAACACTAGATAACAGGACAATTCCTTCAAAGTTCTGAGGGCATGTTTTTTTTTTTTCAATCTTAAATTCTATATCAAAATAATTAAGCTTGAAATAAATATGTTCTAAGGAATCTAAGAAATGTGAGATCACCTTAGCATATAATTGATAAAAAGGTAACATGAATAAAAAGAAAAGAAGAAAGCCTGAGACTATGTCAGAAGCTCTAAAAGGTAGGGAATAGAGCAGCTAGAAGTATGGTCAGGTAGGAAGAGTGGAAGATATATAAGAAGGCTCTGAAGTACAAATTAGAACAGGCCTTTACTTGGCCTTCAAGATGAAGAGAATAGATTCTAAGCAATCATTAGAATCAGAAAGAGCTGGAAGATACTAAGACTACAGTAAGACATTTGGCCCCACAACAAGAAAAACAACAGTGGAATGAACATAAAAGGTAAGATCTAAATGTAATGCAAATTAAAATGTATCATAATTTTGATTAACTGATGAAAAAAGGTTATTTTGAACAATTTCTTTTCAGTGGAACAGGGGACATAAACAATGGTGCTGTAGAAAAGGAATCCTAATCATAACCTACTACTTTGCAGACAATGCTATTTTTGTACAAATAATATAAATGCTGCCTATTACCTTTTAACTTTCTAAATAAACCTATACACAGAGTACAGACATAATTACAGTTACAGTACAGAAAGTAAATGCTATCAACTATGACAACATGTAAATACAGTGATCACAACTTGGTAGATAAAAGGGAAGAAGGGGAGGTGATGGGAAAGGGTGCACCTGCTAATCTTCATGTTATGAAGGAATCAAGAGATATCACTTATAGTTAATGGACAAGAAAGGAAGAATATAATAGTAAAAAAAATAAAAAGCTACAAAAATGATAAGGGGTGAAATGAGTTAAATCCTCACCCATCACAGCAAGAAATGTAAAGATCAAGTCTTTGCAGGAAATTAATATGAGTATTATGAAATACTGTTATAAGAATAACTTTTAGAGATATGAAATAAATCACCAGAAGGAAATACAAAGGGGTACTAGTGATTGCCTATGGCCAAGACTGCAGATGAGCACAAGGGCTAGGGAATGTAGTTGTTCATTGTAGGCCCTTTTTCCATTAAAAGGAGCACATAGTAATTCTGTGATTAAAATATATATTTAAAATGGCTACATATGAACAGGGCTATAATCTGAGGTCATTTACCTTAAGGGCATCATTTTATTAGAGCATAGTCTAAAAATTGACCATTGTAATGATTAGCTGAGGACTGCATTGTAATCAGTAGGCAGAAAATTATATAGTATATTTTTAGAATATGTACAATGAAAATAGTTACAAACTTTTAAAGTTTCGGTTGTTAAATAAGATTTAATTGTAATTCACTGAAAAAGCATTTATTGAGCAGAAAGTGAGCTAATCTTCAAGGTCTGCTCTCAAAGAGTTGTGTTTTTTTTTAGCGAGAAGACATAATAAACAACCAAAATAAAATACATACAAATAATTAAAAGCTAAAATGTCCACTGAGGAGAAAGTGCAGTGAATGATATTATAGGAAATAAGGAGGACCTACTTACACGGTGTGGTCATAAAAGTTTGCTCACATGAAGTGACAGTAAAGCTCAAATCCCAAGGACTGAAAGCTAGAGAATGGACAGTTCAGAGAGCAGGAACTAAGCCCAGAAGCCTGCAGAGGGAAAGCACTTCAGATGCTGGCAACTGATGCTGGGTATGAATGAGAACACCTCCGTCTACTGGAGGAATGCACAGCGTACAGTCTTTCTCACTCCACATAAAACAGGGCCTCCCTCCTCTTCCAACACTAAAATAAAAATGAGCTAAAAGCAACAGGTGCCCTAAAATCTGATCTGATTTTTGTGTCACGTGGAATACATACAATATTACTGGTAAGTACTCATCACTGATTTTCAAAGAAAAAATGTATAATAACCATACAGTGACTTGACCCTGACAATGGAGTAGGTCTGAGCCTCTTTGCACACTAATAAACCTTTAAGAGACCAATGTTACCTTAAAAAAATCATTAGAAGAATGGAATTATAGTAAAAATCTATATAATTTTACACCAAAATAATTTTTCTTTTAAAATATAACTTAGGGAAATAGCAAATCAGCAAAAAAATGGCATTTTTATGATATTCTAAGAAATGAAAATGCTTTGTTCTGAAAAAATACGCAGGGAGAATCAAATTTTAGTATTCAACATCTGTGTATAGTATCTAATGGAATTACATAAAACAGAGATAATGTTCAATTTCTTTTCCTCATAAGGTCTGAACCTAACACAGACCTACTAGACTCTACTAAGCATACATACATTCATTCACTCGTTAATTCAGTCCACAAATACACAGGAGTGCCAACAACCTGTCAGCTGATGCAGGAGTGAATAGTGTATACAAGGTCCCTGATCTCAGGGAGAAAAAAATGCCAGTGAGAAAAGGAAACACAAAATTTCAGATAGTCCCAAGTACTCTGAGGAAAATAATAAAATGTGATAAGGAATATTGATGAGTCAAAGAGAATGACTTCATTTTGCCTTCAAACTCTGTATCATCTACTTTTTCAGCTTGACTTCTCAATGATCAATCCATCATCTGTTCCCAAATCCTGAAAGTGTCCCAACGCCTGCATCATAAAGACAATAGGCAGAGTAGAAGACAAGATCCTCCATCCCCGGGGCACAGCTCACATCTACTATCTATGTCTCTATGAACATACTATACTCAAAGGGCCTCTCTGCTGTATGACATCCCATGCTCATTCTTTAAGAATTAAATCCTTTGTTTGGAACGCCTTCACTTCTTTCAAAAGCTGCCTCTCCCTCAGAAGTCATTCCCATCTCTACCCCTACCATATGTGTTCAGGTAACTATCTGAAATGAAAATTCTGTTACTGTGCACTGCTACTTATTTTAAGTATATATCTGTATCATATTATGCACATTATGTTTACATATTGACTGTTCAATGGCTGGGACCCAGTAAAGAACAGGCATTTAATAAAGGTTTGAGGATGGTGATGGTGAATAATATCCTTTCCTAAATAGTCAATATCA